TGGAGAACCGGGGAACCACCAAAGGACTGGAAAAGAGCTGATGTGGTTCCTCATCTTCAAAAAAGGGGAAAAAAACAGACCCAGGAAACTATAGACCAATCAGCCTAACATCAATACCCAGGAAGATACTAGAAAAGATAATAAAAAAACAGATCTGCCAACATCTAGAAACAAGTAAAGTAATAACTAGCAGTCAGCACGGGTTTGTTAAAAACAGATCATGCCAAACCAATTTTATTTCATTCTTCAATACAGTGATTAAATTAGTAGACCAGCAAAATACTATGGACATAATATATTTAGATTTCAGCAAGGCATTCGACAAAGTAGACTACAACCTATTTCTTAGTAAGCTAGAAAAAAGTGGAATAGATAGCACCACCACTAGATGGACTCGCAACTGGCTGGCAAACCAAAGTCAATGAATAGTCCTTAATGGGTCTAAGTCTACATGGAGGGAAGTAAGCAGTGGGGTGCCACAAGGTTCCGTCTTCGGCCCAGTACTCTTCAATATCTTCATTAACGACTTAGATGAGGGAATAGAAGGGGAACTTACCAAATTTGCAGATGATACTAAGCTGGCACGAATAGCTAACACCCAAGAAGATAGGCTCAAGATCCAGATGGATCTTGACAGACTAGAACACTGGGCCATATCTAACAAAATGAAATTCAACGTAAAGAAAAGTAAAGTCCTACACTTAGGCAAGAAAAACCAAAAGTACACATATAGACTGGGTGAAACCAGGCTCAATAGCAGTAACTGTGAGAGGGATCTTGGAGTCTTAGTGGACAACCAGCTAAATATGAGCCAGCAGTGTGCAGCAGTAGCCAAAAAAGCTAATGTAATCCTAAATTGTATTAACAGAGGGATACAATCAAGATCAAGGGAAGTACTAATACCACTCTATAAAGCCTTAGTAAGACCACACCTAGAGTACTGCATCCAGTTTTGCTCACCACATTATAAAAAAGATGTTGAGACTCTAGAAAAAGTACAGAGAAGAGCAACCAGGATGATTAGGGGACTGTAGGCTAAAATATACAACGAACGGTTGCAGGAACTGGGCTTGGCTAGTCTAGTAAAGAGAAGGACCAGGGGAGACATGATAGCAGTCTTCCAATATTTGAGGGGCTGCCACAGAGAGGAAGGGGTCAAGCTATTTTCTAAAGCGCCTGTAGGCCAGACAAGGAATAATGGATGGAAACTGAACAAGGAGAGATTTAACCTGGAAAGGAGAAACTTTCTGACAGTGAGAACAATCAACCAATGGAACAGCTTGCCCTCGGAAGTTGTGGGAGTGCCATCACTTGAGACTTTCAAGAAGAGATTGGACTGCCATTTGTCAGAAATGGTGTAGGGTCTCCCGCTTGGGTGGGGGGTTGGACTAGATGACCTACTAGGTCCCTTCCAACCCTGATTATTTGTTATCTGTTATCTGAATTGTGGATGCCATTCAAATCAATTGTGGATGCCATCAGCATGTTAGATTAGGATTGTTTTATTGGCCTCACAGAACATGAGGAGGGAAGAAATTTCCCAAAACATATCCCCCCCAAAAAAGTTTTAAAGCATAGAAACCCCCCCCCCTCCCTCAGAAAAGCTCTATCACCTAGTCCATGTCCACCTAATTTCTTAAAAACTTTCCACAAACCCTCTTGAGATGTTCTTACTAGATGTGCAGGCTCAGTCAATTTTGGAAACCTGCTGGTAACCAGTGCAAAAATATTAGAAGTAGTGCTGCCCTGCAATACTAGAACTGATTCAACAGCAGCGCATCTTGGACCATTGCAGCTTCTCTAGAGAATAAGGAAGATGAGCTTGGTGGAAATATGTAAGAACTGTTACCTAAGCAAAAGGATCTGAAACATTTTAAAGTCCAAAACAGCCAGATAGCATTTATAACCAGCTCAGATAGACAGCTCCCTAATTCACTTAAGTGTAAGAAAGAGGACATGCAGCAACCATAAGCTTAAAAATCCATTGATTATATCAATCTCAATAAAAGTAATTTTAGACATCCTGTGAGGCTGATTTGCTCCACCTAGCAACTAGCAACTTCTGTCTTCAAATATTGCAAATATTATCCCAAATAAAGCATTTTACAGTAATCCAGATATATTGAGATTATGGCATCAATTACCAGAAATCTGGGTCCAAGTAAGCATTTGGTGCACCAGTTAAAGTTGGGTGAAGCCCCCACCACTAGCAGCCACAGCTCCACCTGTTGTTTAGGTCAGGGATCTCCAACCTTGGCAACTTTAAGCCTGGAGGACTTCAACTCCTAGAATTCTGGGAGTTGAAGTCCTCCAGGCTTAAAGTTGCCAAGGTTGGAGACCCCTGATTTAGGCAGTATCCAAGAGTCCAAGAGAAGCTCCAGACACCAACTTATGGTGGGGGCTTAACCTCATTCAGAGTAACTACTGGGACTGATGTCTTCAGATGTTTATTGACATACAGCAATTAATCCTGGATATAAGTACTTAGCTTGGGCTTATTTTACCTGAGACTTCGAATATTGATTCAAGCTCTCCACAATATTCCTGACATGGCTTGGTGTGCTGAGGTACAGCGGAATATCTTCAATGTGCTTATGACAATTCACACCAAACTGACACATTCTTTTCCTCCTTGGCTTCATAAATCTCTTAAAATGTCACGAGAAAGAACACCAATATCACTTGAGGTTTTTTTTTCTTTAAATGCTTTTGGTGTTATCTTGTCAAAGACTTTAATAAGGAACTCGATTACTATTAGAATTGCATTCACTTTCCAATTATGCTGTCCCCCTCCCTATCCCAAAGGATCTATGGGTCCATTCTCAAAATAGTTCAGGAATATATAAGCTTTGGGTCTGATCTGAGGAAACACCTTAGATCTAGGCTAAGGCAGGAAGCTTTTTGTGTTTCAGACTTTCATGAGAGTCAACCAATAGGAATCTAAGGCCATTTACAAGCCTCTGGTACTAATTACTACTGATTACAGCTAGTTCAGACAAAATACCCATGTTGGTTGAATATTTTCTTTCAGATAATCCTTCCTAACTCACTCTCAGGTTAATGTAGAGACAACACGGAATGGCCTTGAAGGATAAAGGAAAGATCCATTTCCAAGGCAATAATCAGATAAGCGTGGTTTAAGTCCATGCCAAGAAATGAATCTGAGAAAATGCCACAGATAGGCCCATCCCTAATTCACATGGAGATAAAATGAGAGAATGGGAAGCACATTCAGACTTGCAAAATCTTGTTATAATAGCTGTTCTGATAAAAAAAATAGTTTTTGACTGATATGCAGTCGTGGTATTTTGCAGGTTCTGACCAGTTCTGGAGAAATGGTAGCGGAAATTTTGAGCAGTTCGGTGAACCGGCAAATACTACCTCTGACTGGAGATTTTATAGTATCCTTCCCCTGCCACGCCCACCAAGCCACAAAACTGTAGTAAAAAAAAAATGAATCCCACCACTGTTGATATGGCATTGATTTCTTGACCTACCTGTTGGGGCTGACACTTAATGTCTTTTGTCGAAGGATCAAAATGGAAATGCAAATAAAGAAAGTTTAAAATGTATTTTTTAATAATTAAAACATTTTACTTTTTAAAAAAATATTGATCTAATGATGATTGACATTCATGTCATGTTAGCAAATGACAGCTGTCCATATAGAAATGCTGCAGGGATTAATTTTGACTTTCAGTATTTCAGAATGAATGTGGAAATCATTGCCGAAGGCTAGTGCTTCTGGAGTACAACTAAACAATTCCAGATGTTCCAAACCACTCTACTATATTGTATTACTGAATGAAGCACTGTATAGATACTTCGCTAATTAAGTGAGGAGAGGCAGAATCAAAAACAATGAATGGAAAGTAGTGACAAGTTATATCATCTCCAATTTCTAACACAGTAAGGAACTGAGATAAATTAGATTTTCTTGGTTCTTCCAAACTGCAACCAAACTAATCTGATAAGAGTATGGTGTTCCATTTTTTCCCCCTCCTTGATGGCTTTTTAAAAAAGAAAGAAATGAGAATATGCCATGCCAGTGCTAAGTGGAAAAAGTGTATCATTGCCTCTATAACAGGTCAACTGAATGGAAGAAAAATATTGTTTGGAATATTTCTTATGCATTTTGTGCCCAGCACTTCATCCCTTCACAATTTTTTTCCAGTAATCACCTAAAACAGGGGTGTCAAACTCAATTTCATTGAGGGCCGCATCAGGGTTGTGTTTGACCTCAGGGGACCAGGGGGGCATGGGCAGGGTAGATGTGGCCAGCTCATCACTTATCAAAGTTCCATGGCTGCTGCCTGGGCTCCATTTTTGGCCACAATAACCTCCTGCAGCCCTCTGCCAGCGAAAACGAAGCTCAGGAGGCCACACACGGCCTTCCCAAGATGCTTTTTTCCTGGCAAAGGCACCATGGGACAGTCCTTCAATTTTTCCAGGGTGGTCCCACAGGATAGATCTAAGCACCCCATGGGCCCAATCTAACCTGTGGGCCTTGAGTTTGACACCCCTGACCTAAGGAATAACTCTATGGGCAGTTTACATGGTAGTTTGGAAGCTACCACTAATTGGTATTCACTCAAACTGGAATCTTGTTGTGGTCACGTAATCCATCTTCCCTAACTGGCAATCCATAGAGATAGAGGAACTATTATGGTTTAAAGTTTACCTCTATCACTTTATCACACAATATTGATATATATTACATAAATAAATTTCTCTTTTTACACATACAAAGGTTACTGTTGTGCCATTTCTGCATTATTATCATTGATGAAACCTCTATGGGTCAGAAGTGGTGGAGCTTAAACCTTAAAAAAAATAGATAATTTAATTCTACAGCAAAATATATTATATACATTTTCCATTGTAGATTATTACTAAAAGCTTTCAACAGGAAACTCTTACACTTCAAAAATAAAAAGGTTAAGTAATGGCAAGTTCTGCATCATTATCCATTTTTTGCTTCTCTTTGAAATGTCCCACTAAAATTGTTCCAGAAATAGTAACAGGCTTTTTTTTCATTGAAGATCCATATCTAGAAGATCTTGAAAAAGTTTGATCACATGTTGTGGTTGGTTGCAAACGTATTCCTCAAGTTTCAGCCCCATTTGTTTGTGCAAGCTTTTAGCCAGTTTAGACACCACAGTTCTCACATTTCCACTCTTCCCAGGTAATACCCCATTACCAATCATGTTATTCAGGAAATACCAGAGAACAGGAAGGATCTGACGTTCCACAACTTGAGGCTTCCGTGGATAAGCAACAGCCACAAGACCTGAAAGCAAAAGATTGCAGATCTTGAAATAACAAAATTGGTGATTCTCAATCTTGGCTGGTTGGGGAATTCTGGGAATTAAAGTCCATATAACTTCAAGTGGTCACAGTTCAGAAATAGTAAACTAGGATAGCTGCTCACTTTTTTTATTGCAGGCATAGCACTAAAATTTGAAAAACTGTTGAGACAATTTCCTTTTCAATGAACAAAAACTGTACATACGTGTGATTTGAATCTAATTTTTTGTGAATTCCTTCTGTAATTATACCTAAAGTACATTTTGAATATTTAAAAATTGTTTGGGGACATTAAGTGGAATTCTGCACATGAGTACCTTATCAGCAGCACCTCTGATTATTGATGTTTGGTTATTATTTTAAAACAAATAACCATAAATGAATTAAGACATTAATTTTGTTCTTAATCCTAAGGTTATTTTACATGCTTTAGGAATTGGAACACCAGATTGTGTAAGTCAAAAACACCAGCCTTTCCCAACCCGATACACTTGGCTTGGACACCTGGATGGTTGAAGTACGCTGTAATGAATCTTTCATCTGAAGAATGGAACAACTTGCCACAGCCAACTCACCATGGCCACCATGCCATGGCCAACTCACCAGAACCAACTGATCATGGGACAATTCATCATAGCCAACTCACTGCGGGACAACTTACCGTAGGACAATTTTAACAGTTCAATTTAATTATATAAAGTAAATAAAAATTATTTAAATTTTTGCCATTCATATTTCATTTGGTCCCTCTTTTTGTATTCATTCTTTAATGATTTTGTTCCACCTTTTCTTTGATATTAGTGTAATTCTTGTCCCACAGCAAGTTGTCCCATGGCGAGTTGGCTGTGGCAAGTTGGTCATTGGATAGGGGGAAAAGACACTGGCTAAATTTTGGATGTTATTTTTGTTGTGGCTTCTCATTGCCGCTATGAGCTTGATGGTGATTTTAAAGACATTGCTGTCACTTAGCCTGCAATATGAGATAATAATGACCTATCTTATATGGTTGATATTAGAACAACATATGTTAAATTAATTGCTCATGATAAAAGCTATAGAAACACTAAATAATAATTTCTGCAACATCCTCTATATAGTTTTTGCAAGTTACCATTATTGTCTGGGGCTTAGGATCGGGGTGGGATTCAAATTTTTTAACAACCGGTTCTGTGGACGTGGCTTAGTTGGTGGGCATGGCTTGGTGGTCATGTGATTGGCTGGGCATGGCCAACTCAACATCACTCACATCGAGGCACGCTTCTCCTTGCCTGGCCTCTCGTGACTGTGGGGATGCTGCAACAGTCGTAAGTGTGAAAAACAGTCATAAGTCACTTTTTTCAGTGCCATTGTAACTTTGAATGGTCACTCCACACAAGCAAAGTACCAGCAAAGGAGGAAAAAAAACTCCAGATAAGTTCCTGTGACAGGAAGTCTAGTCCTGCTAAGAATGTAATAAGAGTTAATGGAGAGGCAGTTTCTGTAAGCAACACCAGAATGTTTCCCTCCTGCCTTCCTTACAGGATTAGGCCAGTAATTTCTTCTAACAACCAGTTCTCCAAACTGCTTAGAATGTTAATAACCGGTTCTAGCGAATAGGTGAGAACCTGTAGAATCCCACCCCTGCTTAGGATGCTTATAGAATAATGGTTTGTATATGTTTTCAAGAAATATAATTATTCATTATTCATTCAAATATTTGGGAGGACAGTTTATTACATCAAATCTAAAGTGTATTCAAAATTTAAATTGTGAAAATGTAACTATTGATTAATTTTAAAAGTAGATATGCATAGTCCATACAGATTTTAAAAAGAATGTTATTTTCATCCAAAACATTTCATAAGCAGTAAAAAAAATGAGAAAGTGTACCCAGTGGTGGGATTCATTTTTTTTACTTCCAGTTCTGTGGCGTGGCTTGGTGGGCAGGGCATGGCTGGGTAGGCGATGCAGGGGAAGGATACTGCAAAATCCCCATTCCCTCTCCACTCCTGGGGGAAGGTTACTGCAAAATCCCCTCTCATCCCCAGCCCACTAACCTGCTTTCCAGCTCCGTTCTCCTGTGCAGGGCAACAAAAGAAGACTCAGCTGATCAACTGGGACTTGGGAGGCAGAGAATAGATGGGGGCGGGGCCAGTCAGAGGTGGTATTTGCCTGTTCTCCAAACTATTCAAAATTTCCATTACCAGTTCTCCAGAACTGATCAGAACCTGCTGAATACCATCTCTAAGTATACCTCAATAACAAGTCTGTGCTGTCATTGTTGTACCACTTCATGTATACTGTGTAAAATGGAAGTTTAGAGGAGTAGGGTAAATATTTACTGTTTTATTATAAAGCCATTTGGTAATTTTACTAAATGGAAGTTGTGCTGATCTTAAATGATTATTATTGCTGTTTTGTGGCTTTAGTGCTTTTTTCCCCCCCACAGGAAAAAGTATAGCTCTTGAATGCTGTCTGTTTTTAGTGGTTGATTGATTTACAGCATAATAGATGGCTTGGTTATCTATTTCAAACAGAGACTTATTTAAAATGTCCATATCAAATTTCTAAATTGCAACACTAAGCTAAAGAGTACTGCACTGGGTCAAACACCAGTGACGCCGGTGACCTTTTAGTGATATCTGATGAGTATATTTTGGGTCCAGTTACATCTCAGTGGCTAATGAAGAACGATTGTGATAAGCTTTCGGATGCATATATTGAAGGAACTTGTTTCAATTTTGGGATTCTGATAAAAGGAGCTTGTGATCTATTCTCAGCCAGATACAGCTATGGATTGGACCTCTGGCAAACTTTTGCATCCATTGTCCAATAGACTAAAGAGACCATAGCAACTGGTTTGGGGTGGAGGCAAAATACTAGTTTTCAGAAATAATTCCTGAGTCATCCAAATACCTGGAAAGGACATGACAACTTTGGTTCAAGAAACCAAATCAATAAACCAATTTATTTTACTGAGAATGTTTTATCCACATCTCTCTTCGTCCTCTCATTCCTTCTTAGGAAAAAAAAATCAGAGTTTCTTAAATTGTGGTTGTATATCTAAACCTTTATACCATATGTTTTAATTTAGACTTCTTATCTTCTTATATCAATTTCTTTGTTCAATGGTTTCTTCACTGTTTTCCAATTATTGTAAACCAGAACTTATACAATATTAAAAATTCAAAGAATAAAGGGGAAAGAAAATGCTAGTAGAAATAACATCTATTTATAGGTTTGTATCTAAAATGCAACTGAAGTGGAATATTTGATTCTATCCAATATTCATAAACCTGACACAGAAATTTGCAGAAAAAGAATTTTGTATTTTTATTTGGAAATAAACTCAGCTTAATACCTTCAACAAATAGAATGGGATAACTTTTAAATCTCTGTGGAGTAAATTGTGTATATATTTTTGCAAGATATTCTTCTCTATTTTGGAGACATGAGCCCAATTGATTCAACTTCTTTTAATACCAATCTTTTCAAAGTGACTGTCCTGCCTGGGTGTTGTTAGAAACAACACCTCCAAGACCGAGTCATGCCTGTGCTAATAAGTCAGAGATCCTCCGGAGAAAGTGCTGGCCCATATACTCAATAAGCAGTCATTTCTCATTTCAAGTTTGAAAAGTTGTAAATAGAAATATACTGCCTTCAGCTGTGAATAAAGGAGCTCTTTGCCTCCTACTGTTATCAGAATTATTGTTCAGAAAAAAAACTCCACACCATACATAGTCTTTTCTAACCTGCCAGACAGTCCGTGATGTCCTGCAGAGCTCGGCCAGTGAGAAAACGCACTCTGCTGGCAATTATTTGAAGCAGCAACAGGTTGTCTGAAAGGGATAAACATATTGTTTGGGTGCAAATTATTATGGACCAATCAAGAATAAATAAACAACAAACAATTTCATATCGTGTTATACTTGAATTGAGAAGATATTGTTTTTGCAAGTTTAGATGTTGTTCCTACAAGCTATTGAACATATGCTAATCTTCTCCAACTAGCACGCTTCCAATGTGTTGGGACCACAGTAACCAGAATCGCCAGTAACTAATTCAATTGAATTGAAGGCTTGGGGAAGTATGCTTGGAGCAATATGGCTAATGCACGAACATTGTGTCTCTGACACTGCGTCTGTGCAATCAACTTACAAACAGAAATAACAAAACAGTTAGCATCATAGCAGTGAAGTTCATGATTTGCTTTTGTTTGCAAATAATCGAATTAGGCATCAATGGATCCTGCTTGGCCAGACATTCTTTCCCAATGTATCCAAATGTAATCAACACTCCTTGCAATAATCCATTTTGCACTATTAAAAATTCAAGTTATTTTAAATAATGATATTTTAAAAGCATAGTGAAGACACACTGTTTGTTCAGTATTTTAAAAGCATGGTGAAGATACATTGTTTGTTCAGTATGCCTTTACTGTACAAACTATTTATTTTATTGAACAATGTACTAATGTACTCAAGCCAGTATCTACAACTCTTCAAAATGGAGTATTGCCTTTTTGTTAAAGTTCTTTCAGCGAATATGCAAGTGTTTGATGCAAAAGATATATGACCTCTGGTTCTTCCATGCCAATTTATAAAGAAATATGAGGTAGCTTTAGGCAGATTGCCTTAAGACTATGGAATTCCTGCTTCAGATAACAACCAATACCATTAGAAGTCATTTGGGGGGAGGGATTTGTATGTTAACTGACATGTATAGCATTTGTATGTTAACTGACAACCCAGAATCAGGCATTTAACAATGGTCCAGGTTTCAGCTTGTAGTGAATAGGTAGCATGCCTACTTGATTTTAAATGGAATCTATTCCAATCCGTCATAATGGAGGAAAATGGTACAGAAAATAAATACATATTAATTAAATGTGGCAAGTGTTGGTTAGTTGACTGGTTATTTTTTTTAAAAAAGAACATTTTCCTAACTTGCTCCTTCTCAGGTTATGCAGCCAAGATGAATCAAAGAGAACAAAATAGCAAGGAGCAAAAAATTCATGTTCTGATCAATGTCATCCATTGTGATAGATGGAAGAGGAATGATGTGTGTGCTGAGGAAGGCAACTCTGTCCTTTTAATGATTAATGGAAAGTATCACCATTTGCTGCAGCAAGAACAATTGCTTTGAAATGCTAATATTGAATGTGGAGGGTGGGTGTTATTTATTATTAATCATTGCCCCCTTATTAATATCTTTAAAGATTTTTGCTCACTTGTAAAACTGACTTTCAAAACTCATTCTAAAGTAAAACATGGCACATTTCTCCTTTTTTTGTCTTTCAGTAAGATGTGCTGTACATTTCAAAAATCTGAGAATCATGAAAGCCCCAATAAGCTCTTGGTAGGAGATAAATTTAGAGCTGCTTTCCCAGAAGGTCAAGAAATGGGGAGATGCAATGTTTGACAGCAATGGGTGTTTTTTTTTTAATCTTCTGCAGCCAGCCTTCACAAAGTGAGGAATCAGGTACCAGATGAAAAAAACTCAAATCCTGAAATACAGTCAAAGGAGAACACATCCTTTTGAATGAGTTTTATTCTTGTATCCATGCAAACAGGACTCTTTCTGCAAACGTAAAGCTAACTGTATATCTTGAAAGTATTGCTGATGTTGATTAGTATATTAAAGCAATTTTTCTTGCTGCTCTGACAGAAATGGGAAAGTTTCTCTATTTCCATCTGATGTTCTGATTCAAATAGCCTTTTCCTAAAATCAGTATAAAGAAGGTTTCTGTATGTTTTATATGTTACTGCACGGAATATAGTACCAAGGAAAAAAATGAATATGTAAATTAATGAAAATCAAAACCAGGAAGGAAAAGGTATCTTAGGAAACATCCATAACATGATATTACAATCAGTTAACTACATTTATGAAGCCAGTTATTTTTTAAAGAATTTTATTAAATTTCAAAAACTAAAAAAGATAGGTATTAAGAATGTTTCAAAATAAAAATTTCTATCCAGTAACATCTAGACCCTGTGATTTCCAAGGTCATATGAGACCCATACTTACAAATGACAATCACACATTCCCTGGAAGACAAAGAAATGTATACACGTACTGTCCTCTTGTGGTGGAAGCTCTTAAAGCATCCATGGATAAGGTAAGTCCAGTCAAGGAAGGAAAATAATGTTATTCCACACTAAGAATTTACACAAAGAATTATAATTTCCAGAATGTCAATTATCCTGATCCATAGACGTATCGGTGGACATGTTTGAACTTAATTCCAGTATCAAGGTTATTTTTCTCAGGAGTAATCCACTGGGGTCCAGTATAAAGAAGCAAAGAATTTAGATAAAAGGAGAATAGACTCTGTGCATGCTCAAGTCTCTAACCAAATATAGGTAATCTGTGCACATATTGCTGAATTACAACTAATAGCTTCTCCCAGCATTGATTGTGTTTCCTATAGAAGCTGGAAGCTGTAGTTCTACAATGGCACACGTTAGCTATCCCTCAGAATTAAGGTAAAGATTCCCCTCGCACATACGTGCTATTCGTTTCTGGTCCTAGGGGGCAGTGTTTATCTCCGTTACAAAGCCGAAGAGAGCTGTCTGAAGACTCTCCATGGTCCTGTGTCCAGCATGACTAAACACCAAAAACTCATGGAACACTGTTACCTTCCCACCAAAGTGGTCCCTATTTTTCTACTTGCATTTTTACATGGTTTTGAACTTCTAGGTTGGCAGAAGCGGGTCAAGTAATGGGAACTCACTCCATTACATGGCACTAGGGATTCGAACTGCCGAACTGCTGATTTTTCTGATCGACAAGCTCAGCATCTTAGCCACTGAGCCACAGCATCCCTGTTCCCTCAGAATTACAACACAGTAAAATGAATGTCTGATTCTAAATTCAGTGCTCGTGTTCTTCAGTATAGTCAGAAATATGACATGGTTTGGATATAAGTAAATCTACTAGGACATCTGTATGTTAGTACTAACTTCAGTCATGATTCATGAAATCCTATAATATGTCTAGCTTATTCACCCAGTATAGTATTTCCATATTGATATAAATCTATGTGGTATGAAATTTACAGCAGTCCTTGGTTTTGTAGTTATTGGCAATTGCAATTTCTGCCTTTGGAGAACAATGTTTGAAAGAAGCCGTCATTTAGACATGGATTTATGCTTGTTTGTTCTTCAGAAATGAGCTCAGTAAACTATAAATTTTCTTTCAAGAAGAGTATGCATTGGAGATATTTATGGATTGGAGATAGGAGAATGAGCTGGATGAAGCTCATAAGTTAGGGCTTCTATAAAGCTAGCACAGAAGAAGCTTATTTGGGAGATTGTCCTCAAATCAAGAGGACAAAAATAACTCATGGGCTATATTCACATAACACACATAAAACCTTGTCCTGGACATTTCTAGATTTGCACAATACATGGAGCCATACACTAACCAAAAAAAACCCCTGTCTTCACATCATACAATAAGCAATGAAAAAGCAAACCAGGATTCAAACTTACCAAACTTTTTTTTAAAAAAAGACAATTTATAAGGCTGCCAGGTCAAGATGTTACTATGGGTAGATAACTACCAATCATACATCCACATTAATAATGAAAAACAAAAGGCACTACGTACAAGGATAAAAATCCAACAAACAAAAAAACAGTCATTGCATTAAATGGGTCTAGCTAACATCCCTGTCCAATGCTTATTGGAAGATCCGTAAGTCTTCAGAAGGTCATCAAGGCCACTGAAATTCTAGGGAATACACTGTCCAATGGTTAGGTCAGTGGTCCCCAACTTTTTGAGCACAAGGGACTGGTTCCATGGTGAGAGATCTTTCCACGGATTGGAAGGAGCTTGGTTTTGCATGTTGCCTGCATCCAGTGGGTGGGACTTCACTTGCTTGTGTGGCCCAGTTTCTGACATGCTGCGGCCTAGTGCTGATTCACGAAGTGGGGGTTGGAGACCCCTGGATTAGGCAATATAAGAGAGATAGTTCCCATTACAGATAATTCTCGGCTTACAGCCAGAACTGAGCCTGCAATTATGCTACTAAGTTGCGCCAGCCATTAAGCTTGGCATCATGTGACCATACCCAACTTTACCTTTTTTGTGGTGGTCATAAAGCGAATGTGGCAGTCAATAAGTGAACGCCACAGTCAGTGGGCAAATACTGTGGTTCTCAAGTGAGCCCATTGTTTGGTCTAGATATTTTTTGGTGGAAACCAGAAGTATGCATTGGTTTCCAGCAAAAAAGTCATAACTCACAATCACATGGCCATGGGATGCTGCAAACAGCCATAAATAGGGGCTAGTTGCCAAGTGCCCACAATGCAATCACATGACCAGGGGAGGGACACATGCTTCACCATTTTGGATTCAGGACACAACTACCTTTTGAGGGGTTTCCCATAAGTTAGAATGTCAGTAAGCAACCCAGTCATAAGTCGAGGACTACCTGTAGATGGCATTGTTTAATGCAGAGTATCCATAGTATGCCCATGTTTCATCTATATCTATATTCATGCTGCCAACTGAGAAATGGAGTAGCAGAATCGAGTAGCAATTACATCAAATTGCACATAGGAACTTTTTTTTTTATTCTCTTCAGTTAAAAATAATCATAAAAAAGAGATGGCTTAGTCTTCTACTAGCACTGAATTTTACATGGTGGAGCATCAAGGTGGACTTCCACTTCTGCAATCTAAAATTATATTATTAGCTTCTTGTGATTTTGTGATTCTACTGCCTAGTTCTAAGGCATATGCAGATCTGGCCACTCAAGCAAACTTGAGATTCCAGACTAACCTACAAAGAACAGTATAGAGCAGGGGTGTCAAATTTGCGGCCTGTCGGCCAGATGCATCACACACTGGCCACGCCCACCCCCGGTTTAGCGAAGGAGAAAAAAGTTGCAATTCATCACATGATGACAATGTGTCATTGCGAGTTGTAATACATCATGTGATGACAATGTGTCATTGTGAGTATGACATCTTTGTTATAGGCATACAATAGCTCCATAGCTGTAGCACCCAGGTCACTTGAGTAGGATGTGTTTTTACTGCAGTACCAACTTTTAATGGGATATAATTTTCCACCAATCTGCAATAATTCACTACAAACGCCTTTGTTATTTCAAATCCAATACTGCATCCCTCCATCCTATATATATATATATATATATATATATATATATAT